AGTTTTTTTACTGTGAGTTTTTGGTTTTATTCACGGTACCTATATATCCTCTGTAAAGGTTTCGGCTTCTTTATTAACAATTGCATTAATAAATAAAGATATTAATTCTGGAGCCATTTAATCAATAAATATAAAGAGATAGTCACAATATGGTGTTAGTAATTTTAGGGTTCGCCGGTAAAATGTAATTTTAAGAAGTTTTGTGAATAATGACTTTTGTGCCTTTTTTAAACAATTGCTTGTCGGACTTATTTCTGGTATCGTATGGTAAAAATATATACCTAATTTACATGTAATTATCATACGGAAATCTTTGTTTGCTGGTAAGGATGAATTTTGTAACTTCTTCCATAAATTTTGTTTTTGCAGGTATTTTAAATTTTTTAAGCAATTAGGTTTTATAATAATGGTAAAATTGAGTAATTAAATAGTAATTAATTTATTTTATCATGTTAAATGTTTTTGATAATGTCTGCTGTATTTGGTTTTGTGGCTTTTGTGTTCAGGTTGAAGCTAGCTGACCCTCGATTTTTTTAAAAAATGGCTGGCGTAATTAATTTAAAATTATGATAATTAATTAGTATTAAACGATGGCATGTAGGTTTTTGTGGTCCGCTATAGGTGGCTAGCCAGCTTCAGAGAGGTAGTAAACCTCTAAGCAAAATATCTAATCGCAATGAACTCAAAATTCCAATATCATCATTCTCTCTTCACATATTGTTCATACAGTAAGTAATCTGCTATCCTGCAATGACTCTTGCACATTTAGAGCCCTTTGTTTATTTTTGCGTAATCTTTGTCATTATATTCGTCTTCGTCTGTTCTTGCCTTTCACCGCATTTACAATATTCTAAATAGATCGCATTTCACTAGGTTTTAACTTGCGGTCCTAGATAATGAAAACTTGGCTGGACACAACTGTTGTTGATAAGCTGAAGCAATTTCCTCTGCGTCACATCTTTTTTTTCGCCGCAAAGTTACAAAAACAACTTTTGATACTCTATTTTTGGAAACACCTATATTAAATAAATTCGCAGTAAGAATTTGCATATTTTTTATTTTAGAATTGTTTTTGAAATATTGAGTATTTACTAAGTTAAACGATGTTGAGAGTTGAATATAACAGAATTTTATAGTGCTAATTTGTCATGTATGTGAATCAGAGCTATTTTATTTGTGCATTTCACTATGATTGAAAGTTCGTTTTGCAGATTTAACTATGTCGAGTCTTCTGTAAGAATTGAAAATTTAATAATCCATTTCTCTACAAACCGAGTTTTTTTGTAACACTTTCACTGCTAAATATAACCCGCCACCGGCACCGCACGGCGTGTCCATGCTTGAATGCAACAGCCCAGGTACAGAATTGTGCGTAATCCGGCGCATCTTGCCGAGAAGTTGCTCCGCATCCGATGTTCGCTGGCGCGGGAGGGGGTGCGTGCGGGACAGGGGGCGACTCGGGCGCTATCTGGGAGGTGCCTGGCACTTCCGGCGGGTCCGGAAGTCCGAGATAAGCTGTGGGGAGCCGCCGCGGCAAAGCACTGCGCGCGAGCGAATCCGGATTCGCAGCGGCAGCGCCGGACGCCGCAACTCAATGGCCGGGCAAAACGCACTCTATTATCGACCGGCCTCTGCGCTCAGCGGGTTGCTTTCGCACACTCGGACGGCGAGCGCACTCTATTATCTGCCTCTGAAAATTATATATATAAATACATTTGTGGCTCTGTTAAAACTCGGTAAAGTATCGATAACTTTCATCTCAGGGCATTACGCCCTGAGGAAGGTCGCAGAATGGCGAACGATACGTCGGCACCTTCGCCATGGACGCGGCGTCACCCGGCCAGCCTAGTAAATACTGATCCCGGCCGCGGAAGCCTACGCTCTCTTTCATCTCAGATGTTCCGGGAGTATCGACGGGGCATGCTCGGTAGGCTGTGTTTCAGCTAATTTTAGTGTGTTTAGCTTGTGACGAATACTACTCCGCTCCCTTACAAAGGAGACGGTACAAATAATTGAAAACAGAAATTTTAAAAAAATGGCATTGTTTCCGTGGTCGTACAGATTCCCAGATCCCCCAGATACATTCATCAAGGCTAGTTTATTCAGATAGTTCAGTTACCCCTTTCGTTGGAACTGGAATCAATAACGCGTTTAAGATGTTTAATAAAGACGCTTGGACGAAAAACGGCGTGGAGAGATCCGGTGACGGCTCCAGCATTTGTTATCCATCGCGGCCTTTTGTCCGCCGTTGCGCAGGACGCTCCCGCCTTACAAGAGGCGTAGTATCGATATCGTTCCCTTCTCGATAAGGGCGGTGCCGGAACTAGCATCCCGGACATGGCGCGCCGAGAGCGAGCTGATCGCGGCTTTGTGCAGGGCTCTGCTAAGAAGGGACGAGCTCGATAGCTCGCGAAACAAATGAACGTCAGGTCGGAAAATGGCCTTGCAGGAGGTACCGTCGAAACAAGTGTGCTAACTGCAAACGAACGCATTGACGAATGAAGCACATGAACATAACCTGCAGCTTTGTTCCAGTAGTGACAGTCCCTTAAAATAATATTTCCCCGCTACTTTCTTATTGATTTTATGTTTGAATCTTATCGTGCCATTGTCTGCGTGTCAAAATTCAGTATTTTCTTCACTTTTTGGTACCCGTTAAACATCATTTCATCAACTTTGACGGCAGCAATTTTCTAAACTATTCTTTGCGATGTTGTAATATTAGAACCAAGGAATAATTAGTTGCAAGATTAAGCCACGTTATTTTTACATAGATCAAATTAAAACTTAAACAATTTAAAGTGCCGTGAAGTTCAGCGGGGTATTCTGTGGTGTGTCGAAGTGTATTGAACTGTACGACAATGGAGTGTAGGCGTACTGGCGTGCTATGTAGTGCTGTCCGTAGCAATATTATTATTATTATTATTATTATTATTATTATTATTATTATTATTATTATTATTATTATTACTATTATTACTGTTACTATTTTTATATTAATATTGTTAATTTGTATTATAAATTACTACCACTGAGTTATTCTCAGTTGTAGTTAAAATATTTTAATTTCTTTGGACAAACCTTTTATGCAACCACATTTTGTGAACTTCTCTCTTCCATTTAAGCTAGCAACAGGTGTCATTTATTTTGCCAAACCTTTCATGAAAGAAGCGCTGGTCACTTGATTGCTTACTAATGATTTCCCCTGTAAACATTTTCTATGAAGACATCCTGTCGAAATAAATGTTATTTTAGTTTCGTTTTACTTTCTGTAATTGAAATAAATGACTCTTGTATTAGCCATTCATTTGCTTTTTTATCCGTTTAGCTAGTCATGTGAAACACCATCAAACACATATTTCAGGTGCCGTCAAGTTTTGTTATTTCGCTCTTTCATAGCGATAAATTCTTACACTACAAAACATTTTTAAGATACTTTTTTTCATTTTCAATTTCAACGGAGATATGATTAAAAATTATACAATATGTGTCTTGATTTGATCACAGTTCCCCATTTCTTCAGAGAGAGGAATCTCTCTTTAAAAGAGTAGCTATCCGTCTCCTACTTTTGCGAGTTTGTTATTTAGAATGGAATATTACTCTAGGATGTAAAATAAATAATATTCATTAATAAAAATGGATTAAAATAGTAACTCGTAGGAAAAACTGTTATGTGGTATGCATTTAAACAGCTTTGTAATTTTTTAGAAACAATTTTGACGATGAAAGTAATAAACAGTAGTGATAATTGGTTAAGGAGAATAAAATGTTCCTCGGACATTTTCAATACATCCAGATTGTAAAGAAAATAATTCTTCTTTCTTAAAAAAGTACAGTACAGATCAGTTTTGTACTAGTGTTAAATTCATAATTTATTTTTTATTATTACTATTTTATGGCAAAAATGATTAATAGTTGATATGTATGTATTTGGCAGTTTGTGTCGTTTGTTCGACTTCCCAGCTAGCTAATGGTGTCCCCCATGCCTGAGTCTAGTTTAAGTCCCACGCTTGGGGGGAGGGAGGGGCAAAAGATACATGTGGCGAACATTATGTATTCCCTTTGCCGTACCTGACAAACTCCGATGGCCTTAGCTTTTCTTCGACAAACAGCTACAGAAACTGAGACGATTTTAAAGAAAAGCTACAACTCTATTTTTGCCTCGACTAGGAATCGAATTCGGCATCACATCATGGGAAACTAGTATTCTGTCCATGAGCCATCCTTGAGAACGTATTATAAGAATTACATTTTTGTTATTATAAAATTTTAATTGTCTATAATTTTTATAATTAAAAAAGGATGTACAAAACCTCGGAATTATTTATAAAGAAATCAGAAATTATTTCCTAAAGTGCAGTTATTTTCCTAACCATCCGCCAGTACAAAAAATGAGTCTGACGTACAAAATTTAAAATTTTGACATGAAAACGGCATATAAACCTCGTTCAATTTTCGTAATTATTTTTAGTACAGATTCATGGAAATTCACAAGTATACACTCTTGAGCTCTTTCTTAATAACGGAGCGGCCACCATATTGATTCAGGTCGCCCCAGTTTTTTGTGTACTTTGCAGCACCCAGTTGTTTTACATGACTGTAACTCCTTTGCCATACGCGGGTAGCGTGGAGTTGTGGGCGTGGAGGAGTGGGGTGGGCGTGGAGGAGTGAGCGTGAAGAGATGAGCGTGGAGTTGTGGGCATGGAGGGGTAGAGTCGTCAAGGAGGGGTGGCCGTGGAGGAGTGGGCGTGGAAAAGTGGGGTGGGCATGGGGGGGTGAGCGTGGAGTTGTGGGCATGGAGGGGTAGGCTGTACGAGGAGGGGTGCCGATGACGGGTGAAGCGCCGCAGGGTGCCGGGATGGGAGAGCGTGGACTCTTTGTGGTGGACGAGTAGGGTGGGCATGGAGGGGTGGCCGGAGGGGTGCCTAGGTGGCGCGTGAGGGTGGCGTAGGGGTTGCCGCGTGGAAGAGTGGGGTGGGGTGGGTGGGGGCGGCACTCACCGGTGAAGGCGTTGCAGAAGGGCCGCTTGCGTTTGGGCTCCGCTGCGAGGCGCTCCAGCTCTGCGGGGTCCGCTTGCTGCAACAGAGGCAAATCGGCCGCGTTAGGACGCAGACACACGAGCGATGGTTTGACGTCCGTCACCTAACGCTGATGGCGTCAGCTGTGCCGACGCGCGTCGATGCATGCGCACATGAGCGTTGCTTACTATACTGCGCATCCACAGTGCACTCACACTGTTATGTGTGCGCGCGTGTCAGGTGCTAATCACTACTAATCATGGTCACCGTCAAAACTGATATTGCGAGTAATGCAGCGCTAAAAAAAAGTTAAGTAAAAAATCCAAGATAAATTGGGTGCACGAAATTTTTAATAGTGAGAGGCTCTCTAAAGGTGATTATTTCATTCTTCAGTAAGCTGCGAGAAGACACGGAGAAATATTTGATTATTTTCGAAGGGAAGAAGAATCATTCTAAGTTTCTCTTTAAACTCAAATGAATTAGAATTTTCGCATCTTTTTCTATTTCTAAGAAAAGAGGTACCAATTAGAACGTAGAATAGCAAGAAAATCATAATAGAAATCCGGAAAAATCCGGAGAAATAAAATATTACTTTCCACTGAAGTACGGCTTTCAAGGATCCAACTTTTCAAGTTTTACTCTTCTATAATATTCTTTCAGTCGTATTTCAATGTTATTGTTACGGAACCGAAAATTGAAAAAATGTAAAAAAGTAGACAGCTGAGAGGAGGATGGGACAAAACCGAAAAATAATCCATACTGAAGAGGTAAGAAAAAAATAGTATGAGAAAGTCTGTGCCCATTTGCAGCACCAGAAGTCTTTGGTTTAGACGCTAGGGTTTTCACAGACGAGCAGACAGACAAGCAGATGTAGAAAACACTTTTGCACTATCAGGGACCTTCAAAACATGTATTTCCGTTAATATCTTGACATATATCATTTTGAAGCATTATATATTTTTGCTATTATTCTTATCTTATGTACTCTGAATATACTATATATTCGATACAGTTATACATGCTATGACATGTACCCCAACCCTCATTAATGACCTAGTTCTCATAGTTGCATCTGCTTGTTTTAATTTTAGCAGTGTCAAAATGACAAAGCATGAGCCGCCGTTTTTCAATATTTGTAAAATTCTACTCTTGACGGAAATAATAAAGTTTGGGAAGTGGCATTAAAGTAGAATTAAAAGGACTCAAATGTCACAGTGCAACGAAATTAATGTAGGTGTTAGTCGTCGGATTAACGGAAACGACAGACAAAAATAGCCGAGATACGTCCGCATTCGACAGCCAGAGCACGTTGATAAGATGGCCCTTCGGCAATTGTCACACGCGTAGCAACTGTTATGGTATCGTCCTCGCAAGCCGATGTTGACGGTTCAACGCATCACAAAGAGATTAATCCACTTTTATCCATCGCCCATGCAGCACGCCGACAGCTTCGTTTGCATTTCTGCCACGGCGCGGGGCCTCTGTTCTCATTACGGCGTGTTTGTTCTATTTGGTGCTGCGACCTAGCCGCGAGGACCTGTTGAATCTCGGGTGATCAATAGTCACTTTGCCATTATAGTTGGGCATGTGGTTTTGTTAAATATATGGTTAAGGACGAGCCTAGAAATTAAATTTATAATACATCTTTTACTCAGGATTTATGGTGATGAACGTTGAACGAGCAGAATTTCTAAATAATTCTGATAAGTCAACAGGAGAGACTTAAATTATCTAGTACTGGAGACGCTGGTATAAAAAATATTTTTTTATATTTTCCCCTAGATTACTGTTGTTAACAGCCTCGGAGAGTATGCTATGAATGGAATCAACGAAAAAATACAGTTAAATGTAATTAACGAGAATTTCTTGGAATGTTTCTTCTACGTCCTAAAATTACATTTTTTCGTTTTTATTAATTTGCCTGATTCTTTTAAATATCTAATATTTTATTACTGTTTCCAGACCCACAATTATTGTCTGTTAAGTATCAACATCTTTTTATCGTATAGCGTGAGTCATTTCATGCTTTGTAGTTGCAGCCGTGTCGTCAATTAAGCGAACGAATGTTCCCTACGTCATTTTGCAGAAAACACGACGTTAGTTCACAGCAGTTTTTTAAATTTATTTTCTTCTCTAATGTTCAGAAAATTGTACTTAAAGTTATTCAAAGCGCTGAGAATATTTTTAAGTATTGTCGAAGAAAAAATATTTTTTTGTGACACAAACGACGAGTAACAATCATTTGTGAAGTGTGGAAATTGCTATGCATATTTCGATACGTCTGCAGGAGCGTGTCGGAGCGCGACCCTACTAGTGCGCCCGATCTGAGGCCCTCGGGACATTAGTCCGCCAGTTGTCTGTCCGAATTGCTTGGCATTCGCTGTATGCAGACGCGTCAATTCCTTCCCGAGTCTATAACAGCGCTTCCAGTCTTGGAAATGCGCATAATAAGTTCCGGTTACATACAGTTGCGACGAAATTGGAAAACTACACAGAAAACTCTTTCTACGGTAATCTACACTTCTGGAACTTAGATGGAACTTAGAAGTATAAACAATTGCACACACGGTTACATGCTACGTTGGGGGAAAAAACCCAAAAATGAGAAAATAGATAAAATAGCATATTAAATATAAGGAAAGGAGAAGGAAAATGAGTTAATGGTGAATGATATCCTAATTATTTAAAAAAAAGTGCCCGCAATCTCTCTCTTTTCTCTCTCTCTCTCTCTCTCTCTCTCTCTCGCTCTATATAATATATATATATATAATATAATATATAAATAATATATATATATTATATATATATAATATAGAGAGAGAGAGAGAGAGAGAGAGAGAGAGACATATAGAGAAAATTCATACTGGAATGTCTGTCGGTGTGGTGTAGCACACGTATGCAGGTGCGCGTGATGGTTGCACGAATAAATTATTTGAGAAGTTGGATGAAATCATTGAAAGGACCGGCTCCTCGTGTCGAACAACAGGCGTAATTGAGGGGCGTGGGAGCGGGAGCGGCTGAGCGCGCGGAGGATTCTCTCGGAGCGCAGCCGCAGGGAGTGGCAGGCGCATTGGGGGCGGGTGGCGGCGGGTGTTGACGTCAGGGCGGAGGGGGGAAGGAAATTGCGGGGACGGCACGTCAAGTGCAACGCTCGCCTGCGGCGACGCCTCCCCCTGCCAACCTCTGCCCCCCTCCCTCTTCCCTCTGCCACCCACATCTCTACTGTCCTAAAGAAGCGTCACAACACAGAAACTTGGCTCGCTCTGTTTTGTAGAAAAACAAATTGTGAGTAAAATGAAAGATCTTTGTGTTCTCACGAATGTATTTTAGCAGACTTCGAATCTAAGATAAAGTCACGGGGAAATCATATAATTGTACATGTATCACTCTCTATATAAATCTCTGCATGTCTTTGGAGGTTTTGAATGGAGTTTATAAATAAAATATGAAGATGGACGCATATAATACGTAGATTTTTTTAATGTTAAACGGTATTTTTAAACATTTTTAAATTCTGGGACTTCAACCAGATATGTAATGCGTAATGTAGTTTATCTGTGATATGTAAAACATTTATTCACATTATATTTTATTAGTGATTGAAATCATCACAAATATTATGTCTTTAAACATTTGCTCACATATTCTTTGAAACAAAGTTGTCTGTTGTTTAAGCTGTAAATATCTATTGCGAGTGAAGGACTCCGCCCTGCCCCTGCCCCTCCTCCCCCACCCACCCCCAAGCACTGCCAACCCCCGAACACCCGTTCACCCTCGTCCACCCGCCTCCCCCGCACACGGGGCTCAATTAGCCGGAGCCGCCGAGGCTCCGAGCCCCCCTCGTCGCTTCCTTCGCTGCGGAAATCAGCGCCAGCTTTTCGCGTTTGCATAATTTGCTTTCCGTGCGCCTTCAGGAAGGAAGGGGCGCGCCAACGTGTTTGTCTCCTCCCTGCGGTCAGCCTCCCACTCGGAAGGTGAGCGTGACAATGTTTTTAAGGAAGTGACGTTACTTTTTCTTTAATACGGTCGTTTTCCCTCGTTTTCCATTCTGTTCTAATTCGTGTTTTGATAACTTTTTCTTTCCTTTTTTTGCCTACAGGTTTTATTTCTTTATTCGAACATCTCAGCGATGCAATGACAAATGCTGGTTGTTAGATTAAAACGATTCCTTTATTTTTACTTTCTCGCCCGTAGTTTCTCAAAAGAGAACGTATGTAATTGTGCACCGGAAAACGTTAAATGTTCGACAGAAAAACTCGTATTGCCGGGCCCTGGGAACGAAAACTTGGATAAATCTTGTTTATGTGTAGGACTAGTGAATTACTTCCTCTAACACGCTGTGTAATGAGAATCCATGTTTTGTGGCACCTTGATACCGAAAAGTCATCTGCTTATCCGTCCTTCCGTATGTCCGTCTGTGCTCAGAACTAGCACCAAAGTCTTTTTTCTCCAAAATGTATATTCCTCGATGGATTTAAAGATAGGCTCTGCGTTTGAAACATATATGTATTTTGGGAGATAATTTACATAAAGCCTCAACAACAGTTGCAAACGTTTCTCAAAATGGCACCAAATTTTTCGATTCAACTTTGTCTCCAAATAGCGTAAAGGGCGCTTAAGATAATAGTTTAGGTCTCATTTTCGTTGAAATCTATAATTTTTTGAAAATTACGAAAGCTCATTTTTTTGGCGTCTTTCTACAATAAAAATATTAAAGATTCAATATTAAAGTTTATTCACACATACGATTCTGAACACAGAATAATATTATTGTGTCCATTTTAAAATATTCACATAAAATATCAATACAACGTTCGAGCTACAGAAAATAGCCTCTTTAAAAAAAATGCACATTTTTTTAACCGTTAAACCTAATACGCTATGACAAACACGTAAGACTGTTACTCGTAAAGTTTTCCCATTTTGTTAGAGAAACTCTGCAAACTTCAAGAAATGTCATTTCCAACTTGCGTCATAAAATCCTTTCTGTGTAGCCATATTTTTCTCTTGAAAGAAACAAATTGATTTTGAAAGTATCGATACGTTTCCGATTATAAGCTGAAGGCTGTATGTAATGGAGCGATTTGACAACCACATAGTCATGCGTATTAATCTGTCAGAGTTCTGTGAGAAATTAATAGGTTCATGGTGATTTCATGAGGACTTTACTTCCACTTTGGCTCATCCTATCTGCGATGTGGGTTTCGCCTGTAATTAGTGCACATGGTGGCGGCTGCCCACTGATCCTTTGGGCTGTTCGTCACTGGCCATCACTGCCCGTCCAATGCAATATCTATGCCCACTGATGGATCTATTCAATGACTCCGCAAGGATACTCTGTCAGGGGGTGAGAATAGGACAAGGGGCATTACGGATAGGATATAACAAGACAGTGGTGCTACTGAAGCACATACTTTCTTGCATTACTTGTTTAAGACCAGGCAATATTATATTACTACATGAATCTGCAATAGTGTTTTAAAGCAGCAAATAGATATTTGTGATAGTAGTGGAAAGGACGACATTTTATTTTGCGAGGAAATATTGTGACGAAATATGCGATACGAGGCCCACAGACCGTGAAGCGCCAACCTACGAGAAAAATAAAATCACTTTTACCACGTGTGTCATACACATCTTATTAGTTAGACTTAGTGGCTTTTATTTTTATTCAAGAACACAAATCACTTAATGATCATTCAGGTTAGTAGTAGCCATGCGGTCAGAAGAAATTATTTTGTTTCCTTTGTTGCATTCACAAATTTATCTGAGCACTTGAACAGCGTCTTACTTTAGCACCAATGCTAAAAAATGAACTTTTAACACGCAACGCATGCTTAGAAAGAATCAGTTTTACAAGTGTCTGGGTAATTTGTTTCTGCAATGAGACTCAAACTCAGGTTCTCCGAGCAAACACACCATGCGCCTAAAGGAATGATATAGGCCTCGTTTTTGTTTGTACCTCCGAATGTTTGAAAAGTGCATGCTGGAAATGTTGAATTGAGACAATTAGATTTTAAAACATGTGAACTGCTGTTGCACCAATGCAGATATTGAGGTATAAACAAAAACGAGGCCTATATCATTCCTTTATGCGTTCCTTGTTTTATCCATGAAGAAAATTTAAACAAAAAAATGGAGCGGTATTCGAGAAAATGTTTTTTTTAATAATTTGAATTAATTTCAACCAGAAGTTAACTGAAAACTACTCGTTTTTTAAAGAATTGCGCACTGACGTTTTAACAAGTTAATAATTTGGGACACTTTTGTTTAAGGCAAAAAATTATATCTTCAATTTTGTAGGTTTCAAATGTTAACGTTTTGCTATTTTCGAAAATAATGCGCCATTCTTCTGGCAAAAATAATTCACCAAGAGAGAGACAGACTAACACCATATTTTTTATCTTCGTTTGATACATACGAGGAGAAAATTTAAAGAAAAACTCGAAGCGATTTTTGAGAAAAAGTTTTTCAAAACATTTCACATTTCATGCACAAATTACATAAAACCTACACTTTTTTCGATTAATTGTAATCATATTTCTTAAAGAGCTGTAGACATTTATATCATCAATTTTGTAATTTTGAAATGTTAAAATTTTTCAATTTTAAAAATTGCAGAGAGTTTGCCAGAAATGAGTTTAGGCCAATTTTTAGCATTATTTGATACATATGAGGAGAAATATAAAAGAATGGACCAATCTTTGAGAAAAAATTGTGTTAAAAATTTAAATATTGTCTATACTTCACGCAAAATAACGCGAAAGCTACTCATATTTTCGAAAAATTGTACATGACTTTATTTCAAGATCTGTTTTTAAAGTACATTTTTCACTAAGAAATCATCGTTAAAATTGTAGTTGTAAGCTGACGCCATAAAATGATTTTTTTGCAATTTTGGAAGAAACAGCGATTTAAACGAAAATGAGACTTGCGCCATTCTTTTAAGCGTTTATTAAGCGCTATCCAAGGACAAAATTTAATTAAAACATAATTTGATATAAGTTGTTCAATCTGGGAGCAAGTGGCAACAAGTTAGCATGCTACTGCCAGTGAGTCTGTTTGTCCACGTGACTCATTATTTCAAGTTGGAACATCTGTAACAAGAGAGAATGAAAATCAGTTACAAATAACGTTATGTTGTAACGTTGATGTTGAAGCACCAATAGCTCATTTTTATTACATACGTAGAGATATTTACTTTCTAACATGTCAAGTGCGAAAACAAGCGTTTCTCGCGCTTGTTTCCCGTCCGTGAAATCGCTAATTCTTTCACAGTGTGCGAAACATCGCGAAGCGTGTACCAAACATCTGTAACGATTCGCAATTGTCTTTCGTGTTGATGACGTCTTTGTTTATGATTTATAAACAATATTGTTACGACACTGAAAGGAATTAATTTACTTTTGAACAAGCAAGATATATCTAGTTATTTGATATTTAATTTATTTTCCATTACTTAATGCATAGCGTTTCGCTCACGGCGTGTTAAAAAATAGCATACGTTACGCCGGCGCGAGGTGATTCCCACACTCGTCTTCCTAGCTACGCTCGGACGGCAAACTCGACTCGTGCGTGAATCACCTGTTTCGGGCCCTCTGTACGTAAGCTACTATGTAGGACGCGCTTCGTATGTTTCCATTGAAGTAGTTGATGCGTGTCCCGCAGCGCGTACGCGCGCCACTGCAGCGCCGCGAGTGGCTTCTCGACGCAGCAACTCACCCTCTTGTGGAGGCGTGGGGCGTGATCGGAGGGCGCGGGCGCGGCGGGAGCGGCGGCGGCGGGGGCGGCGGCGGCGGCGGCGGAGGGCGCGCCGAGCGGCAGCGCCAGCGCCAGAAGAAGCGACGTCCCCACCAGCATCTGCGCCAACTGCATCGTGCACCTGCGCAAAGTCCCACGCCCGCCCGTCACTCACCGCAGACACTCGCAGCGCACACTCAGCAACCGTACTGTCTTCAATCCAACTGTCAGCTACTAAGAAAATATGACATTTTTTTCTTACATAATCCTAATGCATTTGTTTATTATCTATAAGCATACATTTCTAATACACATGAAACAAATTGTAATAAAACTGTGTACAAGAAAACTAAGAGTCATCTATCATCTATTGAACAAGAACAGGTTAGCCAACGTTGAGCATGATCGATCTATCGAAAATTGCCCGCGAGCTCTCAGTAGCTCGCCATCGACGGTTTGGCGCTCACTTATCCAAATTTACGTAAGAATATTAGAATTGCCGACAAAGGTGGCTCAGGGCATCAACAGATGACGCTGCAGGGATTCTGACAGGGTTCCACTCTCGACGGAGGTGGCAGAATTTTCTACCCTAGAGAGATATATCGAATTCAATCGCTGCCTGGAGAAGAATTCTAACGTCTGACTGCCCTGATCGGTAGTTTTCCCTGGTTTCTCCAATCACATTCGGGGAAATGCCGAAGCAGTAACCTAACAAACGGGCCACAGACCACACGGGATTTTTTCTTCCTCTTTCTTGTCCTATCCTCACCCCTTACTTACATTCGCATGCACTACACTATCACACACGCCGGGAGACCGATTAGCATAGAGCTTGACCCAGCCGGGGCAGTGCTCCGTCCGTGGGAGATACCTGGTTGAGGTAATCCCCGCAAACCCACGTAGGTCGGGAATTCCAGATTCGAATACCTGTTGGGCCGTTTTTATTCTTGTACCTGTACGAACCGTGCAGTTATCTGTAGGCTTCAAACAAGAATCGTCGCGAGTGAAGGGGATCGGAGGTGGAGGGTTCGAATCCCACATAACGCACGAGTCTTTTCACTTTGTGGCTTTCTCATCCCACCACCCAAGCATCATCCCAACTATACGCGTTCAACTATTATCGCAATGGTCGCTCTTCCCACCTGCACCGATGACTCAGTGCAGCCAGTGTTACCAACGCAGCAGCATTGACTGGAAGGTACTAGTGTTTGAGTCCCGACGGCGGCAGATTTTTGTCACTATCCAGATAGCAAGTTCGATTTCAGACGCTGCCAGAGAAGAATTTTAGCTGCCGGTTCCTGGTACTGGTAGTTTTCCGTGGTTTCTCCTATCAAGTCCAAGCGAATGCCCGTAGCCGTGCCCTTTCCAACGCTCGATCGATCGCGCGTGATCTTCCTGATCCGCTCCTCCCTCTTAGCCCAAACTCTTGTTGGGAGGCTGTAAGCTCGAGCGCGTAAGCTTCTCCCGGCTGGGGCGTTGTCCCGGTGGGAGAGATACCTGAAAGGGAATCCCGCGCCTGTCGTCGCCTGATTTCACATCTTAGTAGGGGACGAAACACCATCACCTTACAGGTTATGAAACTAACTGATGTACCGCACTAACGGAAATAAGAGCATAGAAGTTGATACTTTTCCAATCAAATACCCTACGATCAATCATATAGTGCAAAGAAAATAATCAGCGTGGTGACCTGTTCAGAAATACGAAGATCATTAAGACATCGGTATCCTCCCTCGTCATTATTGATAATTGACTATGGTACTCATCACACTCTCCTGGAGCATTTACATTACCCATACAAAATAAGAAAGGTTTCTTCAATCTAGAGGTACTTCAACTTAAATATACTGCTTACTTCAACGTACTGCTACAAAGTAGCAAAGGGATATTTAGAATGCATTCTTAACGCGAATACAAGATGAGGTTCATGTACATCTGCTTGATTAATTAGAACTTCAAATAATTTTAATTAAGGCAAACAAAAAGTATCTTTTCCTAGCGAGGAATACTAAATTCCATCTGCATGGAATTCATTTCTCGTAAGAACTAATCTGATAAACAGGCTGTCACAAAAAATGATAAAAATTCATTTAATGAGAGAAGTTACCGCCCGAAAAATATTCCTTGCTGCCGTGTTCTCCTTTTACTCTCCGATTGCGCACATCCACGAATATTATAAATTCCCTTCTCCCTCGCATCAATTTTCACACAAAGAAGAATATCTAGTTATTGAATTTCGTTTTTTTCCTTCTCGAGAGGTTGCTGTGGAAAGGAGAGTCGGAAAGAATCCATTTTGCCGGCTGCCCTGACGGGCAGTTGCTGGGGCCTACTTGAGAAGGCGGAGTGGCGCGGGCCCCTTAGCCTTTGTCCGGCAGGGGGCCTAACGAGGTGGGAAGGCGCGGATCAGGTGTGCGACCCCCATCCGGCAACCGAGGGCGGGGGACCAGGCACGGGAGAGGGGGAACTGGCTACGATTTTTCCCAACATGCTATTTTGCCTCATGCAAATATTTAAATAACTTTTTGGTATATATTAAATTAAATACTGTATTTACTTAGCTGTCCGGGTGGCGCCGCGTCCATGGCGAAGGTGCCGACGTATCGGTCGCCATTCAGCGACCTTTCTCAGGGCGTAATGCATAATTTAATACATTATTACGCATTACGGCCTGACGCGACCGAAACGTCGGCACCTTCGCCATGGACGCGGCGTCACCCGGACAGCCAAGTAAATACTGACTCCGGCCGCGGAAGCCTACGCTCTCAAATTAAATACTATTTCTTCCGAGAAATGGATTATGCATTTTTCCGTGGCTTGAGGTCCATGACCTTCAGTTCTGTCGTCAATGATATTCTAACGCTGAGAAGGTCATGAGATGAAGACTGCCTTCGGACTAGCTTTCTAGGCCGAAACGCGTGTCTACCACCATTACAATAATTAAAAAGAAATGCGTATAAAACCTCAAATGTTCGACCTTCGAGCAAATAAAATCGGAATTAGAAGATTTCATCAAATATAGTTGCTTAAAATAAATCACAGTAAAATGCATATTTTAGTGTAGCCATTTATTCTCTACAATGATGGTGCTACAAAACAGAATATGGATGTGTCAAACCAGGATTTCACACGCGATGGGAACCTGATTAAATATTCCGTTTATCAATTTAAAAAACAACAAGTTCTAAAAAGACAGTGCGTGCGAGCTCTCTCATTCCATTGGAGGAAATGCTACCAACTATTTTAACAACACTTTCAATATTTTAACAAGTACGCCCAGGAAAGAAATCACTAAATTTGTTTGGAAATTGCCTTCCGTGAATCTAAATAATAAATATTACTATCTTGATTCAAATTTACAAGTCAAGAACATCAGACAGTGTAAAATGCAAAAACGGGGTACTTTTATAAATTTTTGATAAACTATTAATAAGCAATATTAACCTTTGATGGAGATGACATGTTTAGTTCAGTAATTTTTATTACATACCCTGCACTGTAAATATAAGCAAAATACCACGTAGAAAATAAATTTACAAATTCATCTCCTAAAGAGTAAGTTGTTGAGTCTCTTTTATCAATGAAAATTTTTTAAATACAAATAGAAACGATACATTCAAATTTAATTTGTCAAACTAAGCAATTTTTAATATAATATTTTGTATGACCAACTACCACACAATTCTCTTGTCTAAAGCTAATTTTTTGCCAAGAATCCATTAATGGAAATGAAAATTGAAAGTTATGAGCCAACGAACGATGCATTGGAAACTGGAATATTTTTTTTCTTTTCCAAGAACAAACGATCAAAAATATAACGGAGGATGTTCCCCTGCTTGTCTACCTTTATCAAATTATTTTTCAGGCAAGATAAACATTGAGTTTTGAGCTCTTACATAGCACACTCAAACGAAATTGGTCTTTCAATTCTCTTTCGGCTATGTTTAGCGCATTTCGCTAACAAAAATATATTCCGCTGACGGCGCGGTATGTGATTTATCTCACTACGTCTCACACTTTTGTCCTCAAGTATAGTAGGCAGTGTTAGAAAATGTTCGTGTTCCTCTTGGTTTGATCATTTCCCTTTCTTCTTTGTTTTAGGGGAGACTTATCTGACCAGGAAGTTCAAGAGTTCAGGAGTAGAGTAAACTATATTAAAATGGATTTTGAATGCAAGGATCATCATCTACCGTAAAGTAAAGATCTCCTACTGTTCATCCTATGTCTTAAACTGTTAAGACTTCAAATATCTTACCTAGAATGTCTTGGAAGAGTATTTGCGAAAAAATAATGATGCTTTAATACTGTTTCAGCTAACCAAATATAGTTTTGGACGTCTGATTAAAGTCTTAACGTCTGCGTAACGCAAGTTAAGTGACGTTCCAGCTACCCTGCTTCGTGCTGACTACTGGGAGCAAAGAGATGAAGCACTTATTACCTTGCAAGGCTTCATTGTCATAGCTGTTTAGGGGCTCGATTTTGGAAAAAATGAAAACGATCGAAAAAACCCACAAACCAAAAATCATTATTAGTCTTAAAGAGCGCTCATAATTGATGAGCTCGAGGCTTGGCACCGAATTGGACAATGCTAAAGCACGAAAACATAAACATAAGAGAGGGATTACCTATCATACAATAGCTACGCAACGAACATAGATGAAATACGTATAAGAGGAAGTCTGCATAACTGATGAACACGAAATCTTATAGTGAGGATACTTGGGATTTCCGGTACGATATTTTTTAAAATTAATAAGAAGAAAATTTTGACGAGTGGAAAAAGTAATAATTAGAAATATAATTGAGAAATTACTAGACATTTCACTAAATTTTACATCCTTCCAGTATAACCAGTATGCTTATTTACAAAGGGCATGAATTGTGTGATTCTTCAGTGAGTGTAAAAGTGTAGGTTCGCCAGACGAGCTGTACGCATTCGCGACGAGTCGCCCCCATTGAAAGCCGTTGGTGTTGTAGTGTGATGGAGCGCCGATGTGGAGGCCGCATCGAGAGATAGCGAGCGCCATTCGTCACTGACGACGCATCAATCCTCGCTGCCCGATGGACATCGCGTCGAAACGACCGCCTTTCGGTAAAAACGCGGACGCTGCCTACCACGCGGCGCGTGCTAACCAGCT